GCATCATGCAAATCAGATTCTGACAGTATGACAACTACCACCACCACCAACACACTGCAAGTTGATGGAGTCACTTGTCAAGATCACACAATATTATATTAGAAACCAACCAGACCGAAGCTGGGATTCAGTGGGAAGTACTATGCTTAGGGGTTGGGGCTGTAGTAGAGTTAACCTCACACCCTTTGTTAATGAAGAATGGTGATTTCCCAGTGGCACTCAATGTATTATAACAGAATTTGGCAAGAGGTAGCCAATCTACCCAATCATCCTGATGGTAATTGATGACTCTGCAAGTGGCTTTTTGAATGTGCCCACAACAAGTTAGGTCATTTTAGTGATGACAAGTCATATGTGGCCTGGCAACCATCCTTTTTCTGGCCAAACATGAGGAAAGATCTCAGCACTTACATTCTATTGTGGCAGGACTGTTAACATCACACATCTGCCCTTGTGGCGTAACTAGATTCTCTTGCTCAAGTTCATATACCTACTTGACCACTGCAGAATATATGTTTTAGTACAACTCTGCTTCTGCCTTTCCTCTCATCTCTTGTGCTCCTCCGTTCCGAGATATTTCCCCTGAGAATAGAAACAAAGTGGCCCCATGGGTCGATGGCGTAGCTGGTTATCGCATCTGTCTAACATTGCCGTTGTGAACACAGAAGGTCCTCAGTTCGAACCTGGGTCGACTCATTTGATCTTTTTCCCGTCGAACATGGACGGCTCCGTGGTCGATCTCTAGCAGTCTTTTCTTATCCATCTTGTAGTCCATTTTTCCTTCTCAAAATCAACTTCGCACCTTGTGCTCTTGAACGACGGACAGCTTCAGGCTTTGATTTGGACTTGGCGTCATCTTCATCAGTGTCTACGAGAGTGGGGGTACCGGAGGATGTGAGTGAATCGGAGCGAGGCTTGCGGGATATTTCACGGACGGGAGGTGTTGCGATTGCCAAGGATGAAAACGCCTTGAACAGGATGATCGCCAAGACACTCTGCGGAAGCAACTTGAAGTCAGGAATAG